ATTTCGACAAACGGGAAAACAATTTTCGACTGATGTTGGAAAGACTAAACTAAATTAACCTATTTAGCAGTAAATAGGTACCTGGGCGTTAGACAGCTGCCCCGTGACCCGTACAGCTTCCCCGTCACCCGTACAGCTGCCCCGTCACCCGTACAGCTGCCCCGTGACCCGTACAGCCGCCCCCGTCACCCGTACAGCTTCCCCGTGACCCGTACAGCTGCCCCGTGACCCGTACAGCCGCCCCCGTCACCCGTACAGCTGCCCCCGTCACCTGTACAGCTGCCCCCGTCACCCGTACAGCTGCCCCGTGACCCGTACAGCCGCCCCCGTCACCCGTACAGCTGCCCCCGTCACCCGCACAGCTGCCCCGTGACCCGTACAGCCGCCCCCGTCACCCGTACAGCTGCCCCGTCACCCGAACAGCTGCCCCGTGAGTGATAAAAGCAGCAACATGAAAGACCTGTGTGAATAAATCTACGTCTTGGAGAGACTGTGATTGATATCCCCTAGACGAATGTGGTTATCTTGGCAGCCAGTGTGTGGTTTAAGCAGTTATCTTACCACGCAGTCCGCCTGTCAGTCAGTCAGTCAGTCGGTCAGTCAGTCTGTTATTCAGTGATGTAGAAATCAGTCGGTTAGTTATTCTCTCATACAGAAAGTCAGCGAATCAATAAGCGAGTGAGTGAGTGAGTGAGTGAGTGAGTGAGTGAGTGAGTGAGTGAGTGAGAGCGTACGCAGTGGCCTGCCCTAACGGTGAGGGTCGGGGAATACCCCTTCAGTCCCACCACACATTCCTGCTCTCTTGTGTAACCTCCCTGCCCAGAACTCTTGCCCCTCCCTGCCCAGGACTCTTGCCCCTCCCCTGCCCAGGACTCTTGCCCCTCCCTGCCCAGGACTCTTGCCCCTCCCCTGCCCAGAACTCTTGCCCCTCCCCTGCCCAGAACTCTTGCCCCTCCCTGCCCAGAACTCTTGCCCCTCCCTGCCCAGAACTCTTGCCCCTCCCCTGCCCAGAACTCTTGCCCCTCCCTGCCCAGGACTCTTGCCCCTCCCTGCCCAGAACTCTTGCCCCTCCCCTGCCCAGAACTCTTGCCCCTCCCTGCCCAGAACTCTTACCCCTCCCCTGCCCAGAACTCTTACCCCTCCCCTGCCCAGAACTCTTGCCCCTCCCTGCCCAGAACTCTTGCCCCTCCCCTGCCCAGAACTCTTGCCCCTCCCCTGCCCAGAACTCTTGCCCCTCCTTGCCCAGGACTCTTGCCCCTCCCTGCCCAGAACTCTTGCCCCTCCCTGCCCAGAACTCTTGCCCCTCCCTGCCCAGAACTCTTGCCCACCCCTGCCCAGAACTCTTGCCCCTCCCTGCCCAGAACTCTTGCCCCTCCCTGCCCAGAACTCTTGCCCACCCCTACCCAGAACTCTTGCCTCTCCCTGCCCAGAACTCTTGCCCCTCCCTGCTCAGAACTCTTGCCCACCCCTGCCCAGAACTCTTGCCCCTCCCTGCTCAGAACTCTTGCCCACCCCTGCCCAGAACTCTTGCCCACCCTGCCCAAAACTCTTGCCCCTCCCTGCCCAGAACTCTTGCCCACCCTACCCCGAACTCTTACCCTTTCTTTGATGTTGCCTTAACCCCTAACACGTGCCCTTGGGCAATGTCTTCAGCCCTTAACCCTATCACCTGCCCTCAGCTGCACACTGTAACATGCAGGGCTCCCCTCTGCTCGTTATGCCTACACTTCTGCCTCCTGCTCTCATTCCCTTCCTCACCCTTTTCTTCTTCCCTTCATCCTCATATTCGCCTCTTCCCTTTCCTCCTCCTGCCCCAAACACGTGTGTGGTGTGCCTCTCTCCCGCAGTGTCGTGCCCTGCCTCTGTCACCCACGCCTGCCATATGAGGCTGCCGCTCGCCTGAGGATTGGCGAAAAGTCCCCACTCCTGCTCTTCCCCTTTCAACACTCCCAGCCTCGGTACCTCACTAGCTTCCTCACTATTCCCTTCACTATTCCCCTCACTAGTCTCCTCACTAGTCCCCTTACTAGTCCCGTCACTAGTGGGTCTATAGATGGCATCCGCAGATTTGAAAGGGTTCTCAATCCCCTCTAATATTTTCCCTGGCTGATGCTGGTTCCATATATATGTGTAATTGGTGGTGTTGGTGTTCTGGTGGAGACGACCAGACGACCTGGCGACCAGAAGACCAAACGACCAGACCATCTGGTCGTCTTCGCTGGCCTAGGTATAATGTTACTCTCAGTTGGTAGTCAGTCTGTGTCTCCTGCTGAAATAATTTTCATGGTAATTTTATGACACCATTTTACACTATGAAAACTGAATTATTGAATGACCTACCTACTGACAGCTGGGTGGACAGAGCTTCGGATTCGTAGTCCTGAGGTTCCGGGTTCGATCCCCGGTGGAGGCAGGAGACAAATGGGCAAAATGTTTCTTTCACCCTGATGCCCCTGTTACCTAGCAGTAAATAGGTACCTGGGAGTTAGACAGCTGCTAATGGCTGCTTCCTAGGGGTGTGTGTAACAAAAGGGAGGCCTGGTCGAGGAGCGGGCCGCGGGGACGCTAAGCCCCGAAATCATCTCAAGATAACCTCAAGATGTCTTTCTAACCTGTTTGTCAAAACTTCGAATACCCATGTCCCGCCTTGCCTCTCATTAACCTGATTCCTCACATTATGAGGTATCACCACTCACTATATATTGCGTATGTAGTGATCACGTCCACGCAATGCTCGCAAATCTCAGAGAAACACCCATTCCTTGTCCTTTCATTTTTCTTCCTAAATCTTTAGATGTTAGCTCCTGGTCCCTCATCTCAATCAGAAGAGAGTTCACCAAACATTTACGCAACTACTTACGAAACCTGTTTATCTTTCCTTAATAATGGTGACTTTAACATTTATTAAACAGTTTACGAGTTTCGAATGACGCAGTCTGGTGCACATGAGAGGTGGGGGGCGGTGCACATGAGAGGTGGGGGGGGGGTGCACATGAGTGGTGGGGGGGGGCATTAGACCAGGGGAGCAGAGACCAAGACCTGTTGGTCCTGCTAACCTAGATGGTGGGGTAGTGGGGACGGAGAGGGGGGGGGGGATAAAGGGGTTTTAGTGGAGGGAGGGAAGGAGGAAGTGAGGTAAGGTGTGTACAGCCGGTGTGGCCTGCCTAGCAGTCTACCTAGCAGTCTACCTAGCAGCCTACCGAGCAGCCTACCTAGCAGCCTATCTATCAGCCTACCTATCAACCTACCTATCAACCTACCTATCAGCCTACCTATCAACCTACCTATCAACTGTTACGGCCCTCTCGGGACGCAACGGGGTCCTTACTCTGATGTTGTTAGAGGAAGATATAATGTATCTGTTCCCAAGCCAGTAGTGGCTATCAAGGGATGAGATCCGTGACGCAAGTAACTTAAAGGGAGTAGGGAAAGAAAGTTAAGAACTTAATATTATACTTAACACCATCACCAAAAATATATAAAATAAAAGAGTGCACAAGGGGGAGGGATATTAACACTTGACAAGGGGATTCTTCACAATGTAGTCTTCTACTGAAGACTCTGGATCAAGAAGCTAGGTGCTGAGTCCGCGGTGCTTTCTTCGTGGCCTCACGACGTGTCCTCTGAGAATGCCGAGCCTACCCGGGCCACAGGTCAGCCAAAAACACAGGTCCACTGGGGGCACCGCCGTGGAGGCCGTCAACCACACGTCCAGCTGGTCTGCTGGCAGGTACTGAGCCACCAAGGCTGGTACGGCCTCTCCACTAACGATATAAGGGGTACGCCCTAGACAGGAGTCTCGTGTGATATCACAAATCACCCTCCTGTCCTCAATACCCCAGTGGATGATCGTCTTCAATAGTCGGTCCCGGGTAAATCCTTTCACTGCCACTCTACTGACAGGCTAACACACCACAGTGTTCTTCCGGGGGGACGACTTCACAACAGCTGCAGCAAACTTCACAGTATGGAGACTGGCTGCCTCGGGTAGACTGACTCCACTTCCATCACAGTGGTCCCAGGTCGGCTCTGTAAGCAGACACGTCATCAATAACCGGGACACTAATACACCTCACTTACGGACTCGGGCACAAACACCTGACGTATCTAGTCCATAGATGGCGCTGTCGTCGGAGCACCACCTCACCAGAGGTCAGGAGCGGCGGTGTTGAGCGCTGAACCAGACTGGAAACTGGTCCTCGAGGCCAGTACACGCTGTCCTCACCCGGTGTCGTCGTTCGTTTGGCGGGGGTTTCGGGAGCTGACCCACAGATGGCGTGGTTGTCACTGCTCCAGGCTCGGACGCTGGATCCGGGTTCGTAACATCAACCTACCTATCAGCCTACCTATCAACCTACCTATCAGCCTACCTATCAGCCTATCTATCAGCCTACCTATTAACCTACCTATCAACCTACCTATCAGCCTACCTATCAGCCTACCTATCAACCTACCTATCAGCCTACCTATCAACCTACCTATCAGCCTACCTATCAGCCCACCTATCAGCCTACCTATCATCCCACCTATCAGCCTACCTATCAGTCTACAGGGAAGTGAGGTCTGGCTCTCCATCCCCCGCTTACTTGCCTGGTAGGTGAAGAAGGAAGACAATGGTAGGAGGGCGTAGGGAGGGAGGCGGTGTGATGGAAGAGGGGAGATAAAGGGAGGGAGGTGAGGCAAGGGGGTATGAGAAGGAGTTCCGCTCCTGTGCCAGGTAAGTCCACTACGGGCTCGCCATAGCCCGTGCTACTTGGAACTTGTTCCGAGTAGCTGAATCTATAACAATAACAGAGAAGGAGTTAAGCTGATGGAGATTGACTGGGATAAACTATAGAGAGGGAGAAGAGACGCCTCTAACTTACCCGGAGCTATGAATTTATTTTTTACATAGGTGGATACCGGAGTAGTTCCAAGTAGCACGGGCTATGGTGATCCCGTAGTGAACTTTTTTCTCTAGAGAGAGAGAGAGTGGAGGACTTGTGACTCCTGTTAGCAGGATGAGACCTTTTCTTTCCCAAAAGCTTATGGTAAGTCTTATCCTACTGGTTTTCCCTGGAACACGACCCCGCCAATCGGCTAACAACCAGGTGCCCAATTACTGCTGAGAGAACAGGGGGCGAACAGTTTAGGACTGGCGCCCAGTCAATCCTTCCTGACCAGGAAATTCCCTGAACCTGTTAACTCACTGGGATGAGTGAGGGGGAGAGGGGGGGGGGGAGGGGGAGATCACACAATTAAGTCATTCCTCTCCAATCCTCCCTCACCCTAGCACCCTAACCCAATCATCTCCCCCACCCTACTCCCGTTCCACCCACTACAACCCCCCCCCACGGCAATCTTCCCCCCTGCCCCATGACAAGGTGAAGTCCTCCTCCCCCTTACATTGCTGTCAGTAAATTCTTTATGCACAAACTTGGGGATTAGTTATAACGAGACCAACGCCAACCTCCTAAAAGTGGTCTAACTGGATTAAATATCTTGCCCTGCTCGTCGTCACACGACACAGCATCGCTCCTGTGCCAGGTAAGTCCACTACGGGCTCACCATAGCCCGTGCTACTTGCCCCGCTCCTGTGCCAGGTAAGCTACGGGCTCACCATAGCCCGTGCTAGTTGGAACTTGTTCCGAGTAGCTGAATCTATAACAACAACAACATCGTCGTCATAGAAACTAAAATTGGGAAAAATCTTGATCTTCTGGTACCTACCAGAAGAATGGTTCATCGACTTGAGAATGGTCCAGGACGGACCGAAACGTCGTCGTCCCTTCACTTTCTAGTGTGTGGTCTGGTCAACATACTTCAGCTAGGTTATTGTGACTTATCGCCTGCATCTATCCTTCACACCTTATAATTACAATGTCAGCTAGTTACAGAGAATGTTCCATTTCAAGAGCTATATATTTACAGTAAGTCATTATACCTTAATGGTAGGTCTTATCGCTAATACATAATTCCTTGAGCAATGGAGATATTACAGTCATAGGGGAGCTTCTGTTTATTATTAGTCTTCACAATACACTACTTGTTTCTTAAGCTCCTATGTCATTTATCTACTGGGAGTGAAATATGGATACAGTGCAAGGATTTCAGGTAGTAAGGAGAAGCCATTTCCTGCAGACCCACCCCAACCAGCTCACTTGGCTGGTTGCACAACTACCAACGCAACTCCATCTCTCTGCCTCAGTCAACCCGGTGCTGCAGGCGGTGGGTTCTTAGTGCCTCAGTCAACCCAGTGCTGCAGGCGGTGGGTTCTTAGTGCCTCAGTCAACCCAGTGCTGCAGGCGGTGGGTTCTTAGTGCCTCAGTCAACCCAGTGCTGCAGGCGGTGGGTTCTTAGAGTACTAAGACAGTTGGACGACTCTCAGACCATATACCATCTGGTCACCATTTGGTCCGGGAGACATCTCCCGTCACGCAGGGTGCAGACGCACCTCCACAGATCTTCAGTATCAGCTCTTGATACTGGTAATGGCTCAAACGGGCCACCACTTACGGGCTATTCATGCCCGTGCCACCTCTTGGGTGGCTTAATCTTCATCAATTTTGGACGACTCTCACCACTCTCGCGTCCACAGATTCTTTTAACCATGTCGTAGCGCAGTCGATTAAGGCAGCGTCTGGGATGATCTCGGACGTAAGTTCGAACCCTCGTCACGGCCCTTGTGGATTTGTTTACTCTCTGCTTTGTCTGTGACCAGTTCAGAGCTGGGATTTCTTCGGAGACCGCGCGGGCACACCTCGCCTGTACCTTGTACAAGCCGGGTATTTCCGCAGCATCACCGTACGAGATAAATCGAGGATTCCCTGTTGCTATTGCTGAGACAGCCCGTCCTCCTGTCTTCCCCCCCCCCGTCCCATCCCAAATCCTGACCCCTTCCCAGTGCTATATAGTCGTAATGGCTTGACGCTTTCTCCTGATAATTCCTTCCCTCCCATCCTCGTGTTCTTGTAGTACTTATATTGACGATGAGGACCATAGGTATATACCGACGTTCAACACAATTAGGAAGTAGAAATCGAACTTTTTTGATTTGGACCGAAATTTTTTTTTTATGTTGCAAAGACAAACTAACCTAACCTAACCTTCCTAGACCTAATGGGCGCTATCTAAGGCCTAATATGTGTACATATGTGTGTGCTTATAATTAAACACCATTTAGATCATATCACTTCAAGATATTAAATATATTTTCAAAACCAGGAAAACATGATACACAAACCACATATCACGGTCACTCTTCTCACTGCTAACTGACACTTAAAGCAGAACAGGATGCCAGACGGCTGAGTGGACAGCGTTCGGGATTCGTAATCCTAAGGTTCCGGATTCGATCCCCGGTGGAGGCGGAAACAAAATGGGCAGAGTTTCTTTCACCCTGATGCCCGCTGTTCACCCAGCAGTAAATAGGTACCTAGCTGGGAGATAGACAGCTGCTGCGGGCTGCTTCCTGGGGATGTGTAACAAAAAGGAGGCCTGGTCGAGGACCGGGCCGCGGGGACGCTAAGCCCCGAAATCATCTCAAGATAACTGAGGAGATAGCAAAGCATGTATCCATTAGAATCGATATCTTCAAACTCATCATACAAAAACTCAAACACCAATAAGATGAGACAGATGAGCTCTTAAATACATAGAAGAAAAGAATGTGTAACATTATGTGTGCGTGTCCACAGAAGAAAGACATATGAGACAATAATTAGGAGCAAAATCACCTGAGAGCAAAATCTTCTTTCTTAATTAACATATCAAGAAATGTCAAGCACTGATATTTTTAACCTCTATAACGAATTTAAAAAAACGGGCTTGATTATTAGGACTTTAAATCTAAATAACTATCAGTGGTACTGAAAGAGTACGAACTGGTAGAGTACGAGTGGTACTGGAAGAGTACCAATGATACTGGTAGAGTACCAGATGAACTAGTAGAACAATGGTACTACTTGTGGACTAGTAATATCAGTAGCTGATAGGAACATTCTGGTGAAGAGTAAGAGTACTTTTTCCATGGCCCCAGAGAGTACTTTTACCATGGTACCAGAGTGAGAGTACTTTTCCATGGCCCCAGAGAGTACTTTCTCCATGGCACCAGAGTGAGAGTACTTTTTCATGGCACCAGAGTACTTTCTCCATGGCACCAGAGTGAGAGTACTTTTTCATGGCACCAGAGAGTACTTTCTCCATGGCACCAGAGTACTTTCTCCTTGGCACCAGAGAGTACTTTCTCCATGGCACCAGAGTGAGAGCACTTTATTCATCGCATCAGTGAGAGTACTTTACCCATGGCATCAGTGAGAGTACTCATGACATCAGAGTGAGAGTACTCATGGCATCAGTGAGAGTACTCATGACATCAGAGTGAGAGTACTCATGGCATCAGTGAGAGTACTCATGGCATCAGTGAGAGTACTCATGGCATCAGTGAGAGTACTCATGGCATCAGTGAGAGTACTCATGGCATCAGTGAGAGTACTCATGGCATCAGTGAGAGTACTCATGACATCAGAGTGAGAGTACTCATGGCATCAGTGAGAGTACTCATGGCATCAGTGAGAGTACTCATGACATCAGTGAGAGTACTCATGACATCAGTGAGAGTACTCATGGCATCAGTGAGAGTACTCATGGCATCAGTGAGAGTACTCATGGCATCAGTGAGAGTACTCATGGCATCAGTGAGAGTACTCATGGCATCAGTGAGAGTACTCATGGCATCAGTGAGAGTACTCATGACATCAGAGTGAGAGTACTCATGGCATCAGTGAGAGTACTCATGGCATCAGTGAGAGTACTCATGACATCAGAGTGAGAGTACTCATGGCATCAGTGAGAGTACTCATGGCATCAGTGAGAGTACTCATGACATCAGAGTGAGAGTACTCATGGCATCAGTGAGAGTACTCATGGCATCAGTGAGAGTACTCATGACATCAGAGTGAGAGTACTCATGGCATCAGTGAGAGTACTCATGACATCAGAGTGAGAGTACTCATGGCATCAGTGAGAGTACTCATGGCATCAGTGAGAGTACTCATGGCATCAGTGAGAGTACTCATGACATCAGAGTGAGAGTACTCATGGCATCAGTGAGAGTACTCATGGCATCAGTGAGAGTACTCATGGCATCAGTGAGAGTACTCATGGCATCAGTGAGAGTACTCATGGCACTAAACAAGCTTCACCATGAGTCATCAGAACGTCCCAGAGGGTCATGTGCACTAAGATATTAGCTGGGAGTTGGGGGCCCAGGAGCTGGATGCCGCTGCCCATAGACACACCTACATATGCACGGTTACGTAAAGACTATCGGTATTAGTGTAGCGACAATAGTAAAGGGATAGTAGAAGTAGTAGTGGGGGTGGTGACAGTAGTGGGGGTGGTGACAGTAGTGGGGGTGGTGACAGTAGTGGGGGTGGTGACAGTAGTGGGGGTGGTGGCAGCAGAGGAAGGGGGGAGTGGGGTGCATGGGGACCGGGTTCAACATCAGCCGCCAGCGGCTGAAGGAACAGTTAGGGTGAGTGACCTCCCCCCCCCTCCCATGCTCTCCCTCTCCCTCCCTCTCTTTCTCTCCCCCATCCCCTTCTCCCTTCCCGGGTCGTCTCCTCCGACGCTCCGGTCCTCGTACACCTAACTACACCTGCACTGTCCTCCTACACTTCGCTGTAAATCCTTTTCAAGAATCCTGTCTAGCCGTTTCCTAGTTGTTCGACCCTTAAGTGGACCACGTCTGTATGGGCGCAAGACTTCTCATGGCTTGGTATAACTTGTATATACCAGCTAATTCCACCCATTATTAAGTATGGCTGATGTTTGTATTCACGTGTATGTGTGTATATCTTCCATATCGTGCGCTGGTGAGTCTGTATGTTTAAATATTACAGGCAAGTTCCTGGAAGTCGAGGCATGCATCACCTGGGAAGTGTTCCCGTTGACGCTAGTCATGTGAACTGCAGCCAATCAGAACCTGCCGTTTGGGGTAGTGCAAGCGCGGGATTGGTTG